AAATTCTTTGGCAAATATGCCTTTGGGAAGATGGAATGGGTTGGGTTGGGGGCTATTTTAGTTACAAAATGATAAAATAATTTTTTTTAATTTAATAAGATAAAATATCATATATAACTCATAATCATTACTTTCTTTCTCTCACAAAAAAGTCAAAAAACCATTCTCAAACGAGGCTTTTTAGCCTCAGGCTAAAATAGCTAAAAAATCAAAAAAAATTAAAAAGTTAACCCACACTATAAGAAAATTGGGCTTAAAAGACGGAATTTTTTGCGATGGTACATTTGTCGTCGCAAAAAATGACTTTTTGGGACGGCACAACTTGCCGTCGCAAAAAATGTGGCTTTTTGAGACGGCACAACTTGCCGTCGCAAAAAAATAGAGTATTTGTGACGGCATAAAATGCTGTCGCGAAAAAGGAGAGTATTTGGGCCGGTAAAGATTGCTGTCGCAAAAAAATAGAGTTTTGCGACGACCACCAACTGCAGTAAGCTGCAGCCCAAAAAAAAAAAAAAGAAGAGTTTTTTGCAACCGTAATAGGTACCGTTGCACACAAAAACAAATGTAAAAAAATATATATATATTGTGGCTTTGAGACGGCTTTATATATATATAGTCACAAAATTGTTTAAATAAATGCAACGGTATTTTTCTTTAACAAAAAAAATATAAAAAAAACGACGTCGTCTTACTCTTTTGAACATTTCTCTTTTCACCCATTTTTTCATCTTCCTATCTCTCTGTCTCTCTTCTCTTTCTCTCTCTCACTCATCACCCTTCTCTATCTGTCTGTATTGCTTTCTCTATGTGTCTCTGTCTCTCTTCTCTTTCTCTTTCTCTTTCTCACTCATCATTCTTCTTTGTCTGTCTGTCTCTATTTCTCTCTGTCTCTCTCGCCTATCTCTCTTCTCTCTATCTCTCTTCTCTCTCTGTCTATCTTCTCTTTATCTCTCTCACTCTTCTCTCTCTGTCTCTTTCTCGTTTGTTTCTTTTCACTCTTTCTCTCTCTCTCTATCTGTTTTTCACCCATTTTTGCATATTCCTCTCTCTCTTCTCTTTCTCTCTCTCACTTATCACTCTTCTCTCTCTGTCTGTCTGTCTATCTCTCTCTCTTTCTCTCTGTGTGTCTCTCACTCATCTATCTATTCTCTCATCTCTTTTCTCTCTCAGTCTCTTTCGCTCATCTCTCTTCTCTTTATCTCTCTTTGTCTCTCTCGCTCATCTCTCTTCTCACTATCTTTCTCTCATCTCTCGTCTCTCTCGCTCATCTCTCTTCTTTCTATCTTTCTCTCATCTCTCTCTATCTCTCTCACTCATCTCTCTTCTCTCTATCTCTCTCCGTGTCACTCTCGTTCATCTCTTTTCTCTCTATGTCTCTCTCGCTGATCACTCTTTTCTCTATTTCTCTCTCTGTCTCTCTTGTTCATCTCTCTTCTCTCTATGTCTCTTTTTCTGTCTCTCACTCTCTATATCTCTTTTTTTTCTCTATCTTTCTCTTCTCTTTCTCTTTCTCTCACTCATCACTCTTCTCTGTCTGTCTGTCTTTGTCTCTGTCTCTTTCTCTCATCTCTCTTCTCTTTATCTCGCTCATCTCTCTCATCTCTTTATCTTTCCCTCTCTCTCTTTCTCTCTTTCTCTTTCTATGTCTTTCTCTCGATCATCTCTTTTCGCTCTCTTTCTTTATCTCTATTTCTTTGTTTATCTCTCGCTCATCTCTTATTTCTCTTTCTTTTTCTGTCTGTCTGTCTCTCTAACTCTTTCTCTTTCTGTCTATCCTCTCTCTCACTTATCACTTTTCTCTCTTTCTTTCTCTCTCTGTGTCTGTTTGTTTGTCTCTCACTCTTTTGTTTCTCTCTCTTTCTCTCTATGTGTCTGTCTGTCTGTTTGTCTCTCTCCCCCATTGTGTTCACATTACTCACTCTCTCCCTCATCGTTTCTCTATTTACTGAGCTCTCCACTACAAGGAAATACACTTTTAGCGACCACTTTGTCTCTCTCTCGCTCATCACTTTGTCTTTATCTGTGTGTCTCTCTCTCTATCTGTCTCTCACTCATCTCTCTCTCACCACCCATCTCCTCTACCACCTTCACCACTACTGCAAATGTCATTCCACTACTACCATTATTACCACTGTTGCCACTCCACCTCTACAACTACCATTACTACCACCATCGCTACCACTGCACTACCATTACCACCACTACTACCACTACTACTACTACTATTACCTCTCCTTCACCACCGCCACTCCATTTTCTTTACCTGTCATGACCCCATTCCGCCCCTAGTAGAATGGTGTCATGATGGCCATTAATCCGAGATTACCGAAGGCCAATTGACGAAGTCACACAAAATCAGAGTATACATATGGGGCTTACCTGTGCGGTAGCAATAAATTTAAATCTAAATAGTCCACAAGAGCTATGTATAGATCAAATGAAATGACATACACAACGTGGTTTTACAACTTGAGTACAAATAAAATAAATACATATTACATCTTTATCAAAAGATTTCTCAAGCCGACATATACAAAATGAACTACAATAACCAAGCCAAGAAGCATAATCTTCAAGATGCTACAAAATATGAATCCAAACAACTTGCAAATAATCATCTAGGCGTTATCGCCTTCTTGCTCGTCACCTACATATATATATAAGGAGAGGGTGAGCTTGGATACTTAGTGAATGATATTAGAAATAAAGGTTTAAAATTAATGATATCCAAGATCTTTATCAAAACAATACATATTATAGCTTGTACAAATTAAGAGATGAACCGAGTTCATCTATCAAGTCTTTCAAATCTTTAAGGGATGCTTACTAACATCTACATAATACAAGGGATAACATTCCGAACAAACCCACGCGGTAAACTGTCAGTGGCAAGACAAAGGAGATATCTCAAACAAACGCGCTAGTTGCATTATAGTCCCTTAGCATTAAGGACTCTCCAAGACAAACGCACTAGTTGCATTATAGTCCCCTAGCACTAAGGACTTTCCAAGAATGTCATCAAAACGAATATAATACTTGATACAAAAATTAGGGACAATCATTCATACTTGATCAAATACTTTTTCAAAACAAAGCAAAACTTTATCAAAATTTTATAACATAACTTTATTAAAAATACCACTCACATAGCTCTTCGGGTGTGGGGATTAAGGCAAGAGTCCAAGACCTACAAATACATGGTAAAGTCCACTGAATGCACTTCAAGAAGTCAATAAGAGATGCTCAAGGATAGGTATGAAATGCATTCTTAAAACAAGCTTTTCATGAGTGTAAATGATCTCGGCATTTCTTTCAAAACTAAGTCAAGACAAAGCAAAACATGCTGGGGTTAAAACACTGTCTTTTCATCTCGGGAAAACATGCTGGGTACCAACCAGGTCTTGGCCAAGGTCCCACACCTCTTGGCCGAGGTATGGTCCTGATGACCACATTCAGGGAAATGGAGTCTAGAAATTCTGGGTTTCTTTTTGAAGAACATGAAGAATATGAACATGAAGGACATGAATGCTAAAATCTTAACTTCTTTATTCAAAATTTGAGATTTCGTGAGATGAGTTCGAAAACATGGACCTGGGTACTCATATTTGAAGATCTTATGAAAACAAACACAAAAACATGGATCTTGATACAAGCTTTCGAATCAAAATATGGTTTTTTCTTCAAGAACACAAGAACATCATTTTCTCTTTCTAAAACAAAACTTTAAATGAATGCATGGCTCATGAATCATGCTAGATCATGCAATGTGATCAAATAAACATGAAGAACAACAAGAGCAAATCAAGAATCTAATCTCAAAACACGGATTAAATGGTTTAGACTCTAAGGATTAAGTTTGGAAATCTACTTATCTTTCAAGAACTCCTTCTTCCTCTTCCTAGAGCTTCTCTCTCTTCCTAGGACAAAGATATAACAAAATGATATGTTTTCTCTACTGCCGGCTGACTTAACCTTCTGTTGGGACACGTGGCAACGACTGGTTGGCTCTCCTAAAAAAGGTGACTGACTGACAAGACAAGAGCATGACAGAGTGTGTACAACAAGTAAGGTGACATGGACACTCCGGCAGGTAATGATCTCGGATTAGGACATAGGCTTCGGTAAGTAGGGTCTCAATGATCTCGGCTAGGAAGGATAACACTCGGTCTAGCTATGCCACACCTCGGTCTAGGTCATACCAGTCCAGGAACAAGATCACTAGATGCAAGGATCAAGGATCTAGGATGTCAAGATAAGAACATCTCGGCCTGGATGATACACATCTCGGCCAATATGGTAGGGCGAAGGTGGAGGTCAACCAAAGTGGATTCCAAAATGGTCTTAGGTGTAAGAGGTTCAAAGGTGTGACCTAGGCTTAAGATGACCTCGGCTTAACACACACTAAGTAAGGAACAAAGCATGCAAGCAACACTTAGATAAAAGAAATCAAGGTCTGCAGATGCAAGTTTAAGCAAGACAAAGATCATGCAATTGCATGCAAGCATGACTAAGACAAGGTGAGGGTTGTTACATTACCATTACTACTCCATCTCCTTTCTCTATCTCCCTTGCTTATCTTTCTTCTCTCTCTCACTCTCGTTATATCTTTCTCACTCATCTCTCTTCTTTATCTCTCTCATCTCTTTTCAAGTATTTTTTTTTTCCAATTACAATGTGTATGATCCGTCGTCATAAATAATAAAAAAATAAATATAAATATTTTAGGCCTAGACAAACATGTTTTTTAGTTTATGTTTTTAAATTTTTAAAAATATTTTGTTCAAATCAAACACGTTTGTAATTTATATTTTTTTTAAAATAAACAAAAATCAATTTATAAAACTTTTATAAACATAAACAAAAAAATGTAAATTTTATCAAACGTTACCTTAAATTTTTATTTGTGACAATTATACTGATGTCGCCCAAAAAAAAAAAAAAAAAAACTCAAAATCTAATTGGCGCTCATTTTTCCCCTCTCAACCAAAAATCCGCAAATCCCAAATCCCTAATTTTTGAACCATAAAAATCCCCATCTCTCTCGTCTCTCTCTCTCGACTGTAAGCAAGGCAGACGACGGCGTCGAGCCATATCATCGATCAATCCTTCATGTATCTCTCTTTCTCTCTCTCTTCATCCCTGTATCTCTCTTGACGATACAACACTTCAACCCCAGAACCAGAAACCCTAACCTCCTATTCATCATCATGAACAGATCAAACCTCCACAGACTGCTCCACACTCGATCCAATCTTCCACATCATATACGGTCCAAACCATACACGGTTACACTTCCTCTCTCTCTCCCCTCTGCCTCCGACGCCACCGCTACTGCCACTGTGACTACCGCGCCACCGCCATCACCTCTGTTACCGCCCTCTCTCTCTCTCTCGCTCAAAAACCCATTGGATTTGAAGCTCAGAAACCCTCACTCTTAATCGATCGCTCAGATTTGTAAGTTTTTATTTTATATATATATATATATATATTACACAAACTCATGGGTACAACATCCAAATCTCGCTCAGATTTGTAACTTATAGAACAGATCTCGCTCATGGGTGAAAAATACACAAAATCTATTTGATATATATATATATATATATACATTTGTGCTCTCTAATATTGAGTTCATTGTTTTGGTTCTATATATATGTGTGTGTATAAATCTATATTCTATAATAGTCAGACTTTTCCTTGCTAAAATGGGGAAAAAGAGAGGTTAACTATTCAGGATTAAGTGAAAGCCAAAACCACAATCAACTTGGTTGAATTTGATTACATCCAAAAGTTCAAGTTGCTGAAAAAGAAACTACGAAAAAAAAATAATAATCAAAATCAAAATCAGAATTCATGAAAAAATAAATAAAAGGTTTATGTTCTCAATTAGGGAAAATTATTTAGGGATATAAGGTTTAGATAAATTATTTGTAGAATTTAATTTTTGAAACAACCTATATATAATTTCTTCCGTTGATCTTATCAAACAGGACATTTTCATTCCTTTACATAATTCCATTTTTGATTCAATGCAAGCCATGTTGGTTGTATGTATTCTATTTTTATTCATTTACTATCTCTTTTACTTATTTATGTCTTACTTCCTGTAATTATTTTCATGATATGATGATAAGATTAAGCCTCTATCCTATGTAGCGGTGCACTTGTATCTCTCATGCAAGGTAATTATTGGATTTTGTGCCACTGATGCTTTTGCATGTCTTTGCGTTACATGGACCTTGTTCAATTTGATGGTCTGTATTGAACAAAATATACTTAAAAAGAGTGTTGGGCTTAGTTTGGTTTGGTTTGTGATTTGTTTTCAAGTTAAGTATTTTCCTTTTGGAATTGAATTTTTCAGCAATTCTCAGTTCTATTGCTTTATTTGTAGGTTCTGCGAAGAAAGGCCTCTACTCCTTGGGAATGTTGGTATGGGTGCTAGACAATGCACTTATTATCAGAAATCTACCCCAGGCGACCAAACTGGGAACTTGTTGCGTAATGGAAACACAGTTTGGGGAGTGTCCTCATACTTGATCCTGCTGATAAATCTCCTTTCCTTGGAGATATAAAAGCTGGCTGCTGCCAATCATGTCTTGAAACTAACATGTGTAGGGCTCCTATATTTCCTCATAAGGTGTCATCAACTGACTATTTGTTGGTTCGTTCTGCAAAGGGAAAGATTTCAATAAGACGGATTGACAGGCTTGATGTTGTTGGACAACAGGTAACATTGGTATATCTGTAGCCAATTATTTGTTTTGTTTTATGTGCACACTAGTTTTTCTCTCCTTGTACTATGCCTAGGCATTTGGTGTCCTTCCAATTGAAGGCTCTAGGCAGTTATTGTGTGATTAAAGTGTGTTCTGTATATGAACAGACATTTAGATGGTGTCCCTGATATGGATTGATGTTATGTATTCATTAGTATAAGAAGTGGAAATTAGTTTTTTGTTTTTTTGGGATAAGGATTGTATTACAGAAGGCACTAAGGACAGGTGCAGCTCATGTCCAAAATATGGACAATTACCGTATCACCCATCTATCAAAATTTACTCAAAAGACTTCAAAATCGAAAAATTGGTTTAAGGATGCGTCATTGTGCCTGAGAATCAACTATTTTGAAGAAAAAACAAAATTCTACTTTTCATGCTAAAGGCTGTTTCTTTTTGTCGAAAGTCCTATTGTGTTCTCCTCATAAGATCTACATCAATTTTGAAAATAAAGAGTTAATTTAATGTGGTAACGCAAATGTTTGCCACTAGCTTTGTCATGAGGAATGTTTGTGTTCTCCAATAATCTGGATGATTATTGTGTATATGCAACCTACCAGAGAGGATCAAGTGGACAGCTGTATTGGATCATGAGACGTAATTTCCGCATTCCATTGGAGGAGGAACTGAGAAGGATGGTGATGCCAGAGAATGTGAGTTCTACTATACAATTTTTTCCTTTGTTTTTTGTTATAAATACCATCACTTTGCTTGGTTTGGGTTTTCTAAAAACACTTTTCAAAAAATTTTACTTTCTTATTTTTCGTATTTTTTTTGTTTTTACTGAATTTTTTAAATATTTTAAACAATTTTTTTTTAATTTTTAGACACACTTAACATAAATACACTTAACAAGTATAATTTTCGTGAAAAAAATCTTAAAAAAATTCACTAAATACCAAAAATACAAAAAAAAAAAAACAAAAATTCAGTATATAGTTTGTATTTTTGTGTATTTATTAATTTTTTCACAAATATTTTATTTTTTAGATACATCCAAGTTAAGTGCATCTAAAAAATTAAAAAAACATGCTTAAAATTTTAAAAATATTTATTAAAAACAAAAAAACATGAAAAACAAAAAACTCAATTTTAAAAAAAATTAAAACCAAACACACTGTATAGTTGGTGGAACACTTTATAACTATCTTACTAATTCAAATGCCTTCGTGATCAAAGAATTTAAGTCCTTTATGAGACTTAAGTATCATATCTCCGAATAATGAGTTTATTTTGTGAGCTGGACAGTCATTCCATTGTGGCTGCCTTTCCTAAACTAGTATGAAGAGCAGAGTTAGGAAAGATGGAGCTGAGACTTATTTTTCATTTCTTACAAAATGTCAATTTTTAATGGAAGGCTTTTCCTCATCAAAGAGGGAGGAAGCTGGAGATGTGTTGATTTAATGTATCAGTCATATGTGAATTCTTATGTTGCTTAATGAAGCATTCCTCAAGTGACTTATATTTACAACAAGTGAATTTATCAGTTTATTATTATTAACAATGATAAATATGAAAAGATGCATTAGCCCTATAGAGCGAGATAGTTTTTAAAATTTGTTGCCTTGTATCAGTATTCTCTTTTTTCTTACATCTTGTCATATGCATATTCAAATGTTTGTCCCCATCATACTATCCGCTTTAAAAATATTGTGGGAAATGGGAAGCACTAGGTGATATAAAATTGAACAGGATATTTATTTAATTTTTTTTTCTATTAAGAACCTTCAATAGTTTGGGGAATAGTCGCCTGACGTTTGGGGAAAATGATATTACATTGGTCTGAACACTGTGAATAGTTTGAGTGCTTGACTTGACTTGTCCATGTATTAGATCAGTCTACTCCAAATTTTCAGCGAGAAGGATTTTAACAGAGAACATGCATGCTAGTCATTACTCCAAATATTTGACTTGAGAAACAGTAGATAGTTCTTGGAGGATATGCTTCCCTTTCAAATGGTTGCCAATTGGAAATTACAGATAAAAGAAAATTTATTTAACACATTGGTTAATTTATTATCTTTATTGTTTTTTTGCTTAGGTTTGTGCCTATGAAAGCATGCTAGCTGGACTGTGCAAGCTCAAACAGTTAGGAATTACAAGGCTGACTAATTCCAATGGCCTCTCGTCTGCAATGAATCAACTCCCTGATGAAGCTATTGCTTTAGCTGCTGCATCACACATCGAGAGGGAACTGCAAATAACTCCATGGAGCTTGAGTAGTAACTTTGTTGCCTGTACTAGTCAGGTTAACTATTTCACTCTTATTCCATGTATTCTTAGCACTTCTGCTGCTGATGTGGTGATTGTGCAAATACTTGTATGGGCTTCAGAATTGTGTGGTTTTGTTGTTGTGGGAGTTTATTACTGCATAACTGCCTCTTGTTCGAGTTGCCTAGGTGCTTAAGTTATGGGTAGTCACAAGCTTTGACAACACTAGCTTCAACATTAATCTTGAATTTGGAATCAAACCTTTAGCTGTTCTCATCCTTTTTCTTAAATATAAATTATTTGTAGAATTTAATTTTTGAAACAACCTATATATAATTTCTTCCATTGATCTTATCAAACAGGACATTTTCATTCCTTTACATAATTCCATTTTTGATTCAATGCAAGCCATGTTGGTTGTATGTATTCTATTTTTATTCATTTACTATCTCTTTTACTTATTTATGTCTTACTTCCTGTAATTATTTTCATGACATGATGATAAGATTAAGCCTCTATCCTATGTAGCGGTGCACTTGTATCTCTCATGCAAGGTAATTATTGGATTTTGTGCCACTGATGCTTTTGCATGTCTTTGCGTTACATGGACCTTGTTCAATTTGATGGTCTGTATTGAACAAAATATACTTAAAAAGAGTGTTGGGCTTAGTTTGGTTTGGTTTGTGATTTGTTTTCAAGTTAAGTATTTTCCTTTTGGAATTGAATTTTTCAGCAATTCTCAGTTCTATTGTTTTATTTGTAGGTACTGCGAAGAAAGGCCTCTACTCCTTGGGAATGTTGGTATGGGTGCTAGACTATGCACTTATTATCAGAAATCTACCCCAGGCGATCAAACTGGGAACTTGTTGCGTAATGGAAACAACAGTTTGGGGAGTGTCCTCATACTTGATCCAGCTGATAAATCTCCTTTCCTTGGAGATATAAAAGCTGGCTGCAGCCAATCATGTCTTGAAACTAACATGTATAGGGCTCCTATATTTCCTCATAAGGTGTCATCAACTGACTATTTGTTGGTTCGTTCTGCAAAGGGAAAGATTTCAATAAGACGGATTGACAGGCTTGATGTTGTTGGACAACAGGTAACATTGGTATATCTGTAGCCAATTATTTGTTTTGTTTTATGTGCACACTAGTTTTTCTCTCCTTGTACTATATCTGCATGTGAATGCAGTATCAGGTGCAGGGGACTTCTTGAATTATTATGTCTAGGCATTTGGTGTCCTTTGAATGGAAGGCTCTAGGCAGTTATTGTGTGATTAAAGTGTGTTCTGTATATGAACAGACATTTATATGGTGTCCCTGATATGGATTGATGTTATGTATTCATTAGTATAAGATGTGGAAATTAGTTTTTTGTTTTTTTGGGATAAGGATTGTATTACAGAAGGCACTAAGGACACATTGGTTAATTTATTATCTTTATTTTTCTTTTGCTTAGGTTTGTGCCTATAAAAGCATGTTAGTTGGACTGTACAAGCTTGAACGGTTAGGAATTACAAGGCGGACTAATTCCAATGGCCACTCCTCTGCAATGAATCAACTCGCTGATGAAGCTATTGCTTTAGCTGCTGCATCACACAATGAGAGGGAACTGCAAATAACTCCATGGAGCTTGAGTAGTAACTTTCTTTCCTGTACTAGTCAGGTTAACTATTTCACTCTTATTCCATGTATTCTTAGCACTTCTGCTGCTGATGTGGTGATTGTGCAAATACTTGTATGGGCTTCAGAATTGTGTGGTATTGTTGTTGTGGGAGTTTATTACTGCAGAACTGCCTCTTGTTCAAGTTGCCTAGGTGCTTAAGTTATGGGTAGTCACAAGCTTTGACAACACTAGCTTCAACATTAATCTTGAATTTGGAATCAAACCTTTAGCTGTTCTCATCCTTTTCCTTAGATTTAAGAAAATTAAATTCGAGGTGTTAACGCCCCAAAATCACCAAACGACGTCGGATTAGCACGAAACTTGGCACACACGACCACCTAGGCACGAGAGACTTGTAGGAGAAGACGGGACTCCAATCGGGTTCCCGGTTTGGGAGTTAGAGCCGGATTTCACTATAGGCAAACTAGTTTCTTAAGAAACTTGAATTGGAGGTGTTGACGCCCCAAAATACCAAACGGCGTCGGTTTAGCACAAAACTTGGCACACACAAC